CCTGGGCGCGCAGCTATGGGGGGCCCCGCCCCTGGGCGTGCAGCTATGGGGGGGGCGCCCTCGGTCCCCGCCCCCTGGCGCCCGGCGGGCAAACGGCCACGCCCCCTGGCGCCCGACAACCTAAAAAGGTTGGGGACCACTGCTCCATAGGCACAAAATGAGCTCAATCTAACTAGAGACATAAAGGGTAACAAGAAGACATTCTACAAATATATTAGAAGCAAGAGGAAGACCAAGGACAGGATAGGCCCACTGCTCAGTAAAGAGGGAGAAAAAATAACAGGAAACCTGAAAGTGGTAGTGGTGCTTAATATCTTCTTTGTTTTGGTTTTCGTCAAGATTGATGGGGACAGGATGCCTAACATAGTAAGTGGTAGTGGAAATGGGGTAGGTTTAGAAGTTAAAAGAAAAAGACAAAGAAAAAGTTAAAAGTAAAAGTTAAAATTACTTAGAAAAGTTAGCTGTCTGCAAGTCTCCAGGGCCTGATGAAATGCATCCTAGAATACTCAAGGAGCTGATAGAGGAGGTATTTGAGCCTTTAGCTATCATCTTTGGAAAATCATGGAAGTTGGAAGAGATACAAGACTGGAAAAGGGCAAATCTAGTGCCCATCTATAAAAAGAGAAATAAGAACCCAGGAAACTACAAACCAGTCAGTTTAACTTCTGTGTCAGGGAAGATAATGGAGCAAGTAATTAAGGAAGTCATCTGTAAACACTTGGAAAGTGGCAAGGTAATAGGGAACAGCCAGCATGGATTTGTAAAGAACAAATCATGATGATAGCTTTCTTCGCTAAAATAACAATTCTTGTGGATAAGGAAGAAGCAGTGGACGTGGTATGCTTAGACTTTAGTAAAGCATCTGACATGATCTCGCATGACGTTCTTATCAATAAACTAGGGAAATGCAACCTATATGGGGCTACCATAAGGTGGGTGAATAACTGGCTGGATAACTGTTCTCAGAGACTAGTTATTAATGGTTCAGAGTAAGGACATTAAAATGCTGTCAACTGACTAGTCGACTAGTCAATAGGCACTTCCGCATTCCCATTAGGGGCTCTTGTACATTTCAAAGGAGGAATGCAGAACTCACATACAGCCTGGAAATGCCGCAGGGAGCCCGGGGTCAGCTGGGAGTCCCCAGCTGACCCTGGGTTCCATGGCAGCTGCCCCTTTGAAACATCAGAGGTGGCGTTTTAAAGGGGTAGCCACCGCAAGGCTGATCTGCAGAACCTGGGATCAGCTGAGAAGTTTTGTACATTTTAAAGCTGACATGCCGCGTGCAGCCCAGAGTCAGCAGGACTTCCCGCTGGCCCCTGGTCAGCAGGGCTGCACGCTGAGTTCCACATTCCTCCTTTGAAATGTACAAGAGCCCCAGTGGGGGCTCTTGTGCATTTCAAAGTGGCAGCGCAGCATGGAGCAGCCAGGGAGGAATGTGGAAGTGTCTATCAACTGGTTGAGTAGTAAATTAACTGTTACTTAATATCTTTAATCTATACTGTATTCTTTGTAAAGGCCTGAAGGTATTGTATTCTCAATCACTTCACAATAACATCACTATATCATATACTTAAATCAGTAACTATTTTTACTTACAAGTATGTCAGGGATGTGAAATTCATTGATCAGTGAAATACTGATGCCTATTATAACTGTGCAATATCAGACTTATCTGATACACATAATAAAAAAGAGGCTTTTAAACAGGATCATTCTCCAGATGATGCCCAAAAGGACCTGGTGTTAAGAAAGACAAAGCACACTGTTTCCTGAATTTCTTTGATTACCCACTTTTTTCTGTTAAAAATAAATATGAAAATCACACAGAAATTTTGAGTTTCAAGCACTGGGAATTTTGTCATGCACTCCATTGGGCCAGGATCTCACTTTTTAAATTTGTATGGAAAAATATAACTTATTTTATTCTTTCCAAGTCTCCAATCAAACTGAGAAAAGAAACATACTCCATTTAGCAATCACTAACATATATTTCAACATTTCAAGACTTTTCTGCATATTTTCCCTTTCCAGTAACCGACCAAGTATTTGCATAAAATATGTAAGCAATTTTTGCCATCCTCTAAAAGAATAATTTCAGCTTGGCATCTCTTTGTCAGCTTATTTTGTACAAGTCAATCAGCTGCTGGTCGACCAAGGCGCAGCTAATGGACACAACCATAAGCCTTCAGCATAAATCTAACTATAAGAAATAAAGCATTATGCATAGGTACCTACCTATTAGTGCCTGAAATAAGCTGCTCTTAAAGATGCCCATCACTTTTTTAATGGCTTTTTTCAGTTGTTGCTCTTCCGGCTTCTTTAGCTTTTTACAATATTCTTCTAGAAGTGCTAAAGCTCGATCAGTATCTAAAAAAAAATAATAATTAAACAAGTCTGTTTATTGACTTAAAAGATATAGACATTCAAATGTTTTAACCGACATTTCCCTTGGTCATTTATTCACAAGATTAGAACAAAACTGCATTAATTAAAAATGCTATCTAAAGCTATAGAAAATAGGCTGCAGATCAGGGCTGGGGTACCTTTTTTGGTTCGGGCACCACTGAAAAATCAGATGGGGGCCGCATACAAATAAGAAACAAAACAAAAAAAAACCCTCTCTGATGTGGCTCCTGACTGAGGAGAAAGACATTCCCAACATTCCCCTTGCACACCAGAGTCTAGAAGATTTTGTGTGCCCCAGTTCCCGGGTGGGGCAGCAGGAGGGCTGGAGCACCAGTGCAGGTGCTTCAGTACTGAGGGTGGGGGTGGGACAGCTAACCATCGAGGGCCAGATCCAAGCTGTAGATTGCCTTTCACACGATGCACAGTACTATGTATCCTTTGGTATATATGGTTGTGCCAATTTTCTTCCACTATTTGATCTGAGGAAGTGGTTCTGGCCCACGAAAGCTCGTCACCTAATAAACCATCTTGTTAGTCTTTAAAGTGCTACGTAGTCCTGTTTTTTGTTTCAGCTACACCAGACTAACACGGCTACATTTCTATCTCTAGTGCTATGGTACATTGCATTAGTGGAGATAAAATGGACAAAATTAACATGATATCATGTGTACCTGAGATCTGATGTGCAAACAGATAACCTTTCCAATGACAATGTTTAACCTCTAACAATTTAGGAATATCTCAAGGCTGAAAACATTTGTATTCAGAGCTTAAATTATTAATCTGATTCTGCTCTCGCTGCCTTCAGTCAGCATTTGATCACATTTTTTGCAGAAAATACATAAACAATAATCCCCATTGGCAACTAAAAAAACACTGGCCCTGATATATTTGGAGAAGAGGTGAAAATGTTTGTGTTTTAATTGTTGAATTGTCTTCCTTCTGAGTATGGATCTAAAGGAAGGCAGGGCTCAAAGAACTTGAAATTTACTCCGTTTCTCCTATAGGTTGCTATCCATCTTTCCAGGGAAAAAAAGTGTGCTTCATGGCAGAATGAAACGAAATGTTAAGTTCTGTAGCTTCCCTGTTGAGCTGAATTTTGAAATTGGTTTGAAATAATCCAGGCACTTATTAATGAACCTGAAAGTCACCGTATTATTTCAAACCAATTTCAAAAGCCAACTCAACAAAGAAGCTATGGAACTTAATTTCATTTACAAATTTGATTCCTACAACAGAAGTCTAAACAAAGACATTGGTTGGATGACCTGCTACATTCCACATCCTAATGACATAAAAAATAAACAAAGGTGGGTACTTAAGGTGGGTACTAAGTATTCTTATCAGCTTCATTTAGCATGGACACTGACAATTTCTTTCCCCTTTTTCTTCTTTTTCCTTCTCTTCCTCTCCTTCCCCCGCAATCCCCTCTCTGTGCTATTTATTTGAAAACTGGACCCCTTAAACTCCATTCATCTGAAGAAATGGGTTGTGCCCACAGAAGCTCATGATACCATCTACATTTTTGTTAGTTTATAAGGTGCTGCAAGACTATTGGTTGTTTTATATATTGCAAGATTGGCAATAAAACTGTGACAGATGGCAATACAGAAACAAAATTCTCAGTGGTCCTCTCCTCTGCATTTAGCCCATTGCAGAAGTTCAGAAGCAGAAGCTAAGGCACACCTATAAAAGTGATGGAGAAGCATGCTCTGTGAGGGTAAATTAATCAACAGGGCAACTAATTTCAAGGATCTAGCCTGGCTCAACACAGGAAATGGCAGATTTAGTCTGAACCGTGACCTAATTCTTAAGAAGTCAATGGACATTTTGCATTAATTCTGTCACAGACTTCCTGTGTTTCCTTAGGTAAGTAATTTAGTTTTTCTGTGCTTCAGTTCCTCATGAATAAATTCATTGAAGATTTTTGAGATCCTTGAATAATGTGGTTATCAGGATGGATAAAAACAGATGATTTATTTTTTTAAAAATCAGATTTTTTTTCATTTAAAACAGATTTTTTATTTAATCTGGATTTTTTTTATTTTTTAAATCAATGAAATAGAAATTTCTAATTTAAAAATAACAGTTACAATTAAATCTCATCACAAACATGCTACATGTACACTTACAATCTCATAAAAATGAATTTATGGCACTAGTTTTTCCAGCCTAACTACTAGTTCTTGCTTCTTGAAAGTTCTGAGATTTCAATTTCTGATTCTCAGCAGACTAAAAAGTAAAATTCAAAGGAAGACACAACCTGGATAGGATTGTTTTTGTTTTGTCTCTCCTTATGTGGTGGTGGATCTTGCCCAAGCATGGCAGAGGAGTTCGTTAAGATATTGTCTTAGGGTACGTTTACACTGCACACTTATTTCAAAATAATCTATTCCAGAACAGTTATTCTGAAATAGCTTATTTTGAAATAGCACATCTACACAGCAGGGAAGCCTCAAAATTAGTCTGAGGCAGACTTCCCTAATGTAGACTTGCTATCTCGATTTAGAGCCCCAGGAGGCAGTTTTAGCTATTTTTAGTAACTTGAAATCGAATCTGCGTCCAAAAAAAATTTAAATGATTAACTGAATAAAGAATGATAACTGAGAAGAAAAACTATTCAAAATAGTTTTTAAATTTTGTTTCAGGATTCCATTTAAGCGTAAAGACGTAGTCTGTCAATCTGCAACAACTTCAGAATTATCTGTTAATACTTTTAGCAGAAGTGGTACAACTAAACATATTTCAGACAACAAAGTGTTAGTAGCAAGCAAAAGATTTTAATAACCCAGTACAATCACCTCCATGGATGGGTTTGTAGTAAGGACCAGCAAATACCAAGACACTATAGATAAAAAGATTGCTTGGTTCATTTATGACACAAATTCTCCTTTTCACATTGTTAACAATAAAACACCTTCATAGATATGATTGAATCCTTACGATCAGGCTAAACTCCACCTGGTAGAGCAGACATTGGTGGAAGGTTGCTTGATACAGTGTATAAGAAATACTGAGGGAAAATTTGCAAGTTTGATGGGTGGAACAATGTACACAATGATCCAGTAATATGTGTCTATGTGACCACAGAAGATGGGGTTGCGTATCTTTCAGAAACAACAGATGTATTGGCAAATTCCCACACAACAGAATATTTAAAAGAATGTGCAGTGAAAGTATTAAACTGTGAACAAAAATTAAACTGTCACATTCACAGTTTTGTCACAGACAATTTTGCAAATGTGTCAAAGATGAGAAGATATTTAAAAGAAGAAACAGAAGTATGCTCCTTATAACATATGGCTACAGGGCCCATTTAATGCATCTTTTAGCCAAGAGTTAAGTACATCTTCTCCAGGAATAAAAGAAAATGTTGAAGTCACAAAATTCTTCCATAACAACAATTCTGCTTCAGCTTCACTGAAGACAGCAGGAGGATCCAAACTAATTCTCCCTCAAATGCTAGATGGAATTCTGTGATTGTTTTGAACAATTTATTAAGAACGAACCTATTCTCATAAAATGCTATGAAGAAAACCATGATCAAACAGATGGAAGTATCTCATCCAAAGTGTCTAACATTGGATTAAAGACGAATGTAAAAGATATGCTCAGTGAACTGAAACCTATTATCCATAGCCTTAAAAAACCTCGGAGAAATTGCTGCTGCACTGCTGATGCTGTCAAAATTTTGGAATTCACTTTGAGATACACAGATGAAAGAAATGCCTCACCCGGAAGTTAAGTTACGGGCAGTAAAGAAGCAAGTGGATGAAAATACTAACTCCAACCAATTTTTTTTGCTAACATTCTTAACCCCAGATAAAAAAAAGCATATGCCTAACTTCTGAAGATGCTGCTGTTGCCATGACATGGGCATCTCAAAATCACTCTTCAGATATGCCAGTCATAGTAAATTTCAAGGCTGGAGTGAAACCATATAATCAGTAAGGCTTTGACTACACTGCAGGGTTTTTGCACAAGAAGCTTTTTGCAGAAGAGATCTTCCACAAAAATTTCTTGCGCAAAAGCGCATCCCAAAAGCAACGTGCTTTTGCGCAAGAGAGCGTCCACACTGCATGGACTCTCTTGCGCAAGAAAGTTCTGATTGTCATTCACAGAATGGCCATCAGAGCACCTGTGCTTTTTCTGATAGGCTCTTTTTGCGCAAGAAACCCGTTGAGCATCCGCACCCACCTTTTTGTGCAAGAACTCTTGTGCAAAAAGGAGTTATTCCTTGTAGAAAGAGGTATACCTACAAGAACTCTTGTGCAAAAAGCCTCCTGTTCTGCTGTTTTACTGAAAATTTTCCTGTGCAAAAACACGCTTGAGGTGTGGATACTCCCCGGGTTTTGTTTTCGTGCAAAAACGCTGTAGTAGAGACATAGCCTAAATGTTTTCAGATGAAGTTTTGAACAAAGTCATTCCCCTAAAATGGTGGGAATAATTTGCCAGGTACCTTGAAACAGAGTTCCTTCAGTTGCTAAGCCAACTTTTCATAGCAGTAGCTTCCTCTGTAGGCACAGAGAGAATATTGTCATTGTTTGGTATTCTTCACACAAATCTTAGACATTGACTGGAAAAAAAAAGCAGGATAACTCGTTTTTCTGTTTGAGGAAGTTTTATCATTGACTTCAATAAGGCCAGTATTTCACACCAAGATATTTAAAATCAGCTGTCTAGATCTACCTATCACAGATTTGCATTTGCCATGTAAGAATTGATGGCGTGATACAGCTAAAACACACTAAGGATGTTAAACATTGAGTAATTAACTATCAAATAGTCGATGCATTAGTTGATAGGGAGCCTCTGCCTTTGAAGGGAAGGTACAGCCCTAGGGCTGTTGCTACACTTCAAAGGCGAAAGTGTCACGTGGAGCCGAGGGTCAGCTGAGGACTCCTCCACTGACCCCGGTGTTCGTGCAGCGCTGCCACTTTGAAATGCCACGCAGAGTTTCA